TTCATTCATTCATTCATTCATTCATTCATTCATTCATTCATTCATTCATTCATTCATTCATTCATTCATTCATTCATTCATTCATTCATTCATTCATTCATTCATTCATTCATTCATTCATTCATTCATTCATTCATTCATTCATTCATTCATTCATTCATTCATTCATTCATTCATTCATTCATTCATTCATTCATTCATTCATTCATTCATTCATTCATTCATTCATTCATTCATTCATTCATTCATTCATTCATTCATTCATTCATTCATTCATTCATTCATTCATTCATTCATTCATTCATTCATTCATTCATTCATTCATTCATTCATTCATTCATTCATTCATTCATTCATTCATTCATTCATTCATTCATTCATTCATTCATTCATTCATTCATTCATTCATTCATTCATTCATCATTCATTCATTCATTCATTCATTCATTCATTCATTCATTCATTCATTCATTCATTCATTCATTCATTCATTCATTCATTCATTCATTCATTCATTCATTCATTCATTCATTCATTCATTCATTCATCATTCATTCATTCATTCATTCATTCATTCATTCATTCATTCATTCATTCATTCATTCATTCATTCATTCATTCATTCATTCATTCATTCATTCATTCATTCATTCATTCATTCATTCATTCATTCATTCATTCATTCATTCATTCATTCATTCATTCATTCATTCATTCATTCATTCATTCATTCATTCATTCATTCATTCATTCATTCATTCATTCATTCATTCATTCATTCATTCATTCATTCATTCATTCATTCATTCATTCATTCATTCATTCATTCATTCATTCATTCATTCATTCATTCATTCATTCATTCATTCATTCATTCATTCATTCATTCATTCATTCATTCATTCATTCATTCATTCATTCATTCATTCATTCATTCATTCATTCATTCATTCATTCATTCATTCATTCATTCATTCATTCATTCATTCATTCATTCATTCATTCATTCATTCATTCATTCATTCATTCATTCATTCATTCATTCATTCATTCATTCATTCATTCATTCATTCATTCATTCATTCATTCATTCATTCATTCATTCATTCATTCATTCATTCATTCATTCATTCATTCATTCATTCATTCATTCATTCATTCATTCATTCATTCATTCATTCATTCATTCATTCATTCATTCATTCATTCATTCATTCATTCATTCATTCATTCATTCATTCATTCATTCATTCATTCATTCATTCATTCATTCATTCATTCATTCATTCATTCATTCATTCATTCATTCATTCATTCATTCATTCATTCATTCATTCATTCATTCATTCATTCATTCATTCATTCATTCATTCATTCATTCATTCATTCATTCATTCATTCATTCATTCATTCATTCATTCATTCATTCATTCATTCATTCATTCATTCATTCATTCATTCATTCAGTCATTCAGTCATTCAGTCATTCAGTCATTCAGTCATTCAGTCATTCAGTCATTCAGTCATTCAGTCATTCAGTCATTCAGTCATTCAGTCATTCAGTCATTCAGTCATTCAGTCATTCAGTCATTCAGTCATTCAGTCATTCAGTCATTCAGTCATTCAGTCATTCAGTCATTCAGTCATTCAGTCATTCAGTCATTCAGTCATTCAGTCATTCATTCATTCATTCATTCATTCATTCATTCATTCATTCATTCATTCATTCATTCATTCATTCATTCATTCATTCATTCATTCATTCATTCATTCATTCATTCATTCATTCATTCATTCATTCATTCATTCATTCATTCATTCATTCATTCATTCATTCATTCATTCATTCATCTCATTCATTCATTCATTCATTCATTCATTCATTCATTCATTCATTCATTCATTCATTCATTCATTCATTCATTCATTCATTCATTCATTCATTCATTCAGTCATTCAGTCATTCAGTCATTCAGTCATTCAGTCATTCAGTCATTCAGTCATTCAGTCATTCAGTCATTCAGTCATTCAGTCATTCAGTCATTCATTCATTCAGTCATTCAGTCATTCAGTCATTCAGTCATTCAGTCATTCAGTCATTCAGTCATTCAGTCATTCATTCATTCATTCATTCATTCATTCATTCATTCATTCATTCATTCATTCATTCATTCATTCATTCATTCATTCATTCATTCATTCATTCATTCATTCATTCATTCATTCATTCATTCATTCATTCATTCATTCATTCATTCATTCATTCATTCATTCATTCATTCATTCATTCATTCATTCATTCATTCATTCATTCATTCATTCATTCATTCATTCATTCATTCATTCATTCATTCATTCATTCATTCATTCATTCATTCATTCATTCATTCATTCATTCATTCATTCGTTCGTTCGTTCGTTCGTTCGTTCGTTCATTCATTCATTCATTCATTTATTTATTTATTTATTTATTTATTTATTTATTTATTTATTTATTTATTTATACACAGTACTGCCAACAAGAACCAATACGTAGTACTTCAAATAAATACTTATATTAATACTCACCCTAACTAGTGTGCACATGCAACACAAGCAGGAACACATAAGTATTTTAACAAACATAATTTATATAACTACCTTCATTAGGTCTACATCTTGGTCCACAGACAGCAGCCTTGCGTGTGCGACACGGCTAGGCATGAAACTACCCACAGTCCCATGTCACATGACATGGAACACAGGTAACATCGCTCACAAAAGCAAAAAATACAACGTCAACAGTTCAGTTGCGGTCCCACAGGGGCCGCAACCCAATGAATAAAAAATTCATATTTTTATCCCCCTTTGGCTGGTAACCATATGTGTTACACAGCCCCCCTCACAAATAAATATACAATGGAATTCACATTTACATTTACAACTCATACATAATAGTACTTAAAAAAAGTTCAGTACACTAGTACACAGACATTAAGTCCTTTCAACTTAAATACATTATTCCCGAGTAGTATATTAGGTCACTTTTGGGTATCATTTTTGGCGGAGGAGCGGATGGGGAGGAGCAATGACATATAGCAAAATACTCGGGAGGAGCGGAGGTGGAAGGTACAATGACATATAGTAAAATACTCCCAGCCTGGCGCATGGCAGGGTGAGGAGCGAAGGGTGAAGGTACAACGACATATAGTAAAATACTACGCCAACTGGTGTTGGCGGAGGAGCCGCAGGTACAATGACATATAGTAAAATACTCCCAGCCTGGCGCAGAGGCTGGGTGAGGAGCGAAGGGTGGATGTACAATGACATATAGTAAAATACTCCCCCACCCTAGGGTGGCGGAGGAGCGGAGGGTGGGTCACCTTTTGGTGACCTTGTGACGTAATCATTGACCTTGTGACGTAATCATTGACCTAGTTACGTAATCATTGACCTTGTTACGTAATTTTAATGCGTTTTTAATGAGATTTTTAATTAGTTTAATGAGTTTTTTTAAATTTTAATTAGTTTTTATAATTAGTTTGAATTTTTTATTTATTTTGTTTTGTAATTTTTATTGAGTAGTTACGTAATTGGATTTTAATTTTTTTTTAATTTTTAAATTTTTTAAAAATTGTGTAATTTTTTTAATTTTTTAATTTTATTTTTAAATTTAATTACTTTTTTTATATTGTGTAATTTTTTATTAACGAGTTACGTAATTTTAGTTTTTATATTCTCCAACACAACGACCGTGTACAAAAAACAGGTTGAATTCTCCACCACAACGCTAAAGTATACAAACATAGAACATTCATTAAAGATAACGATCAGCGACAGCTGTTACATATCGATCCGCGGTCCCTTGTTTTTGTCAAGCACCGTACAAGGGCGAGCTAATATCGATCGCACCCACGGGGCCATCACACCTAATTAAATTTTGTTACGCATCATGGATTTAAGACGAGTTCGCTGAAGCGAACACAGCAGGGGTCCCGCGTTTAAGCGAAAGAGCTAAGTCCCTCTCCGCAAAGCCACCGTTAAGTGTAGCGACAGATGTTACCACTTTAATGGATTTTTCCCCGATCGGTTTGACAGCTGTGCAACAGCTGGTACCACACTTTCCACTAACACTTAAACGTACAGTGTCATGGGTTTTTAAGTTTCTGGTACGATTATGTTAAACGTATACACATTCACACACACACACTAAATTAGAACAAAAGTCTTCTTATATTTTATTTGTTTATTAACGTTTTTCCAATTCATCAAAGGCTTTTAAAATTTCATCCTGTAAACTCAATAGGCGCTCAAAGCAGACGCGACTCATACTAACACCAGAATTTGTAGGAAAATTAAGATAGGTCCCATCTATAAGCTCTCTAAGATTTAAAGTGTTTTTGTTCATGAATTGGCTAACAATCGCCAATTTAAATCCGGTGTGATTCATCGTTCGTATTTCCGTCACTTTATTGTTACTCCTGGCCACAAGTATCCAATCTTCATTAGACATCTTGAAATAATCTTTTATAATAAGTTCCAATAATTTGAAGTGTTAAACGTGTTATAATACGATCGTTAATATATTGACGACTCGCTGACGCCGAAAAGGGTTGTAATATAACTTTTAAATTTGCACCTCGAGCTTTCTTCAAAACAAAATAGGCTGCATATAGCCCACAACTGTTGGTTAGAATATCTTGTAACACTCTTGAATTGTAAACGAGTGGTCTGTTTGAATTATTTTTTACAAAAGACAAAATGGCCGGCTCCAGAGGTGGTAATCCAAAACTATCGAAATAAGTAAATTGCGATAGTCCGTTGAAAAATAGACCAACCCAATGACTCCCTGCCTCCGAGGACGAATCTAGATTGATAATGAACGCTTGCTTCGTTCTATCGAGACGCGCGGGTAACTGATCGCACGCTAAAACAGCAAAGAGAGTTGTGCGTTGAACAAATAAGTCCGCGGCCAGTATACTTTGTAGTTCTCTTGTGTTCATTTTCTTTTATAGGCCAAGTTAGGCGGTGTAATCTGTCAGCACTTGCCTCGTTTTCGAAATTTCTAACACCGAATCAAGTTCAGCATACACAATAACTTGAATCGGGTCAGCTGTAACTTGTGAAAATTTAAGTTCAATAGAAACAGGTCCGGATTTAGCCAATTCAAATTGTTCACCATCCAAAAGACTAGGGCTTAAATCAAAAGCAAACAGGGTATACCCGTTCTTAAAGTTTTTATAATCTATCCCATTCCCAGCATCTTTTCCAACCATACCAAGAGCGAGGTTACTATTGAAAAACGCTCTAATGGCTTGTTTCTTGTCAAAGTCCATGACCAGTGGTTTTCCCGATAACGAGCGACCATCAACGCTTACATTTAAATACGTGAAGTGACAATGTTGGGGTTTTTCGTGTAACTTCCATTAAAGGCGGTAGAGGCGACTAGACCGATCACTAAACGGGTCGGTGTTTGACTCATATACAAATTGTCTTGGTTGTGACTTAACATACCTTTCGGTATAGCAAAGGTTTTTATTACAACGCGTTTAAAAGGGTATTTTGCATTTGTTGTCGTTAAAGCCTTTTCGTGTGCGATAGAAATGGCGGGGTTAAATCTGGCTTTTCTAACTACCAATGTTGCGTACGTTATAACCGCTTTATACCCCTTGTTTGGTTCTGCTGTCAAGAGAGTGAAACTGTCTTTTGCGGGTGTAAGTTTAATTTTAATGTCAACACCATTCAGCATATACCGATCTTGAGCGAAAATGTCAGAGTGTATACGTCCCATCATATCGATCTCATGACTTTTAGCAGCGGTGGTGCGGCGAATCCTATACCCTTCATTATTGTCATCTTTGAATTCCTCGAAATAACAGGCTAAGTCCCTCGCATAAAGAGCGGCCGATAGAGACCCATTCTTGGCCTCTTCCCCGTGATTTAACGTAGCTTCCAGATAGGCGCGATACGGATAGGTGTTCTCACTAGCAGTAATTAGCGTATCGTTTAGAGACATATCCACTTGTGAAAATAAACTGTGCAAAAAATAATTGACGGCTGCGACATCAACGTCAGGCGGTATTGAATCACCATTCGCTAAAGTCACTTTAGCGCGCACGTGTAAATAAGTATTAAACAAATCGAGATAATCTTCACTGTTGCCAGAAATGGCAAATTCTATAGGTGCACCTTGTGCCAAGGACGCCAGGGGATGTATTTCAACAAATTGACCCTCCTCGACGGCAGTTTGTGTCGGGGGTGTACTAAATAAATCCAATCCAGAATGTAAGCACTCACATGAACTCGGGTGAATAAGAGCCATGGTTAAGCAAATATATCTGAATACTTGGGATGCTTCTTCTTAACACACGTCTTCGAATGTTTGTGGCTTGGTCTGCGTGTTAGTTTTATCTGTTGTTCGAAGGGTTCACCCCGTGGTCTCGAGAGCCCACGCTTTCTTCTCAACCCGCTTCCTGATTGGTTTTGTCCCAGGTGATCAACGGCGCCTTGCAATAAACGATGTCCGGCTTCCTTGGCATGTTCTTTGAACGATTCTACAACGTCTCTTCCCGCTAATGCGTCGTTTGCAACTTGCAACCCAGTACTAACACCTTCTCTGAGTAAAGCCTTACCTCCCGTCTTTATCCAAGGGAGGACCATTCGACCTAGACCACTAAAGAAACTACCAATACCGTGTCCTCTATGATTTCGTCCACCGATAAAAACGGGTAAACCATCACCGTACTGGTTAGAGTAAAAATCCTCGTACAATTTAGGGTTTTGATGTAAAAGTGTGTGTTTCACCATGGTGTGAGTTATTCGTGATCGAAATGTTTACGTGTTCTAAAATGGAGTGTCAACACTGACGTTCCACTTGTGAATGAGAGCGTTTGTCCCAAGTCATCGCATAAAAGTATATCCACAGTGTCGAATGAAAAGCGGTTCAGGGGGATGTAGTGGGGTTTGTCGTAAATACGAAAAACGGAACTTGGTTTCTTCTCAACGATCGGTACGGTCCGAAGCAAAGGGACCATGACATCACCAACCGGTCTCGTTTTTACGAGGTCACAATAGACGAATACCGTTTTTACTTCGTCTTCAGGGAGATGTTTCTCTGTAACTCTACCAGGAACAAGCAAATAGCTTGTCAACCTGTCACGGACGGTACTTTCTATTCCCGCCGCAATTACTTTTACGACAACTTTCTTAAATCCCTTGTTACAGTTTGAAATTATAACTTCCACTTTTCGTTCATCTACCTCTCTTTTTACTAGTTTTTTATAGCGTTAACAAGCAAGTCTATGTATTGATATTTGGACTGACGTAATCCATATAGAAAAAGGTTAACGTCTTCACCTTCTGTGATGGAATGATACTGGAGCCAAATTTCATGTTCGCTAAGCATACAAAACGCATTTGGCTTTTGAATCTCGACCAGACCAACTTCGTAGTGTAAACTCACATCGATAGTCTGTGGTAATTTAACGAAAAAATGCCCAGCCTCATTGTCTGGAAATACATTTGGTGATGTATTGCTAGGCAGGGTCACATAAAAACTCATTGTAAAATTTTGGTCCTTGCAATGGTTGGGTTAGGTAAAATATATCCGAGACAGCTGGATAACAACACGACCCAAAGTTTTCCCTCTTTGTCGTCGACCGTTCCACGCGTCAGATTAAATAGTGAAAAAGCAATGACGACAAATATAACCAACATTTGAGAGATGAAAATGATTTCCGGTCGTGTCTTTAGTTTATCAAACCAGCTCGAAATGGTCAAACCGATAGAAGACGTGGTGGATCCGGGTCTCACCTCGAGCCCACCGAACGGTCTGAGCGTTTCTTCCACAACGGGGTCATCCAGACTTAGGCTTTTTACCGTTTCCTCCATCCTTAGTCTTTATATTTCGAAATGTCTCTAGCTGAAATCCAACTGTTGAATGAAGGGTTATAACCGAACCACTTGACTAAATACTCTTTACCACCGACACCCTTTCTTTCTTGTATAATTTGTTCGACGCGGTACACTTTTTTGTCCCCCACTTTCTGAAGCTCCTCTTTGTAAAACGAGCCTTTCACTTCTTCACCTGAATCATCTTTCAAGACGTACGTTACGGGCGTTGTCGCGTTCACGCGGCTCACCGTAAACAGTTCTTCCGTCCACGAAGGGGTATAACCCTTTTTAAACGTGTTTCGGCTTAGGCCGATCCGTACACGATCACCTTCGTTAAATACTTTTCGATAAGTAATGTCCCCTGGCTCGTATAAAGTATTCCAGACCCTTTCTTGATTAGACAAATTAACATTCACATGGGCCATACGAATACTCCTATGGTACGAGTGGTTATAGTTGGTGATCAAGTCGTCTACGACATCAATGTAACGAAGACGATTTGTTTTTGTAAAGTAAAGCCACATTTTTTCTTTTAATGTGCGATTGAATCTTTCAACTATAGCCGCCTTAATATCTTCATTCTCAGTGGTAAAGAAATGAACGCCTTCATCTTTAAGAAATTTTAAAAATGTCTTGTTGACAAATTCACTACATTTGTCTGTTTGAAAATTTATAGGTTTTCTAGTCGTAAATATTTTACGTACGGCCTCCACTAGCGCCTTACCCGTTTTTTTCTTTATCGGAATCGCCCAGGCGAATTTGCTAAACACATCGATGCAGGTCAGTAGGTAAGAAGCACCACCATTGTGCTTTCGTAAAATGCGCATATCTATGAGATCCGCTTGAAACTGGTGATTTATCCCACCGGTGATGGTGGCGCGCCTCTGAAAGCGTCGCCGAAGAGGTTTATGTAACGTGTAGGTATCCTGACGACTTAACCATTCTTTAATTTTCTTAGTTCCAATTTCAGGGTGCTTAAACACCCCGCCGTAGGCACCTGGTCTACTAGGATCATAGTAATGTCTTTTTAGTGTTTGGTTTTTTCCCACGCGTCCCATTTGGTAATGCTTGTTTTAGTTTTCTTACTTCTGGTACGTTTCGAGGGTGAAGTTTTTTCTACGTGTGTCTTCGTTTTCTTCGAGGGGCGAATTTCAGAGTCAGGCGAGACGGATTTCGTTTTAGTTTCAGATTCTGTTATGTCTATCGTTTCTTTTTTAGGATCGGTTATATTTTCATGTGGTTTTTCAACCTCGGTCGTTGGGGTATTCACGGTGGGTGGTTTCACATCGACTAATCCTAGGGACTTGTTTCTATAATCGCTAAGTCGCGTCGTGTAGAGCTGTAGTGTCTTTTGATATTGTCTCACTTTTTCGTTTGGTGACAAATCTTCCCTATTTAAGATATGTTCCATTTGCATATCCAAAAGGCGTAGACTATCATTGAGTGTGTCGGGTGGTACATAGGTTTTTTGTTGCATAGACTCTAATATACGAGGATCCATTAAAAGCATTTTCCTGGCCATCCTTAAAATCCCAAGACACCTTTAAGTACACCGAGAACTGGTCCGAGTAAAGCACCTAGGAAACCGCCGGTCTGCAAAATTTGCTTTCGTCTTTTGACGGTCAATGACTTTTTGGTAAGTTGTCTCAAGTTCACTTTGTGACGACGCAAACGTCTCTTCTGACCGGGCGTGAGGGGAACGTTGCCTTTTAAGACATTGTGACAGCACTCGCATAACGTTTTTACGAGTTGTGGGGTAGCATTTTCGACAACGGCTTTCACGGCGGGTGGTTTGGCCCGAGCCAAAAACCTTAACATCTCACCTTGTCGTTTTACCGACTCAGACATGGTTGCTTTTATTTCGGGACGTAAACGACTTGCTGCTCGTAAGAAAAGATACTACTGCGTAATCTCAGATTATCCGGTGTTTCCTGCCGAAGGTCGATCAACAAATAACCATGAGGGGCCGATGTTGCGTCCTTAAAACTTTCCTGGACATATGAAACGCGACCGGGATACATTTGTTTTGCCAAATTTGTAATTTGTGAACCGTCTCTAGGGTTCTTGAACAACACTATGTAATGCGAATTGAGACTGATGGTTCTTTGTTCTTTATTTTTCCCGAATAGGTTTTGGACAATATACATAACACTAATATTACGATGGTGGCTTCCTTTCGTAAACAATTTTGTAATTCGCTCATCTGTTTCCGCCATCAAATCATCGATGACGACTAGACGTCGACGTTTTCCATCCCCCATTGATCCACTTTCTAAGTCAGGAAGACCTTCTACAAACTGAACGTTCTTCATGGTATCAAACAAAGGCTGCCACTCCCCGTAACAGTAATAAATTTCCTCAGGTGCAGGATCCATCATCTCTGAAACCTGGGATAAAAATGTTTTGACAAATACTGTTTTACCACTCCCAGTTGACCCAGCGATCAGAGCGGTAAACGGATGTTTCCATCTCGGATCCATCGTTTTAAATGGTTGATTTTGCTTCCAGTCAAAAATCTTATATAGGATACCGAGTTACAGGTACAAGTAACAAAACAATAACACATACTTGTCTTTTAATATAAAAGTAAGAAAGTGAGTTTCTGTGATTGTGTGAATGTGTATACGTTTAACATAATCGTACCAGAAACTTAAAAACCCATGACACTGTACGTTTAAGTGTTAGTGGAAAGTGTGGTACCAGCTGTTGCACAGCTGTCAAACCGATCGGGGAAAAATCCATTAAAGTGGTAACATCTGTCGCTACACTTAACGGTGGCTTTGCGGAGAGGGACTTAGCTCTTTCGATTAAACGCGGGACCCCTGCTGTGATCGCTTCAGCGAACTCGTCATAAATCCATTATGCGTGACCAAATTTAATTAGGTGTGATGGCCCAGCGGCTGCGATCAATAGTAGCTCGGCCGTTGTACGGGCCTTCTAAAAAACAAAGGATTGCGGATTGATAAGTAACAGGTGTTGGTAATGAGTAACACCTGTGGCTAATGGAAGTCGGGGCACAAAGTATACGTTAGCGTTATGTTGGATATATAAAGTTAAAATCAAACTGCATAAAATGAATTTCAAACAAATTAACAACAAGTAAACAATCAAATTAAACAATTTAAATCAAACAAATAATCAAATTACGTAACTAGTTAATAAAAATTAAACTAATTATAAAATTTTAACACACTTCATAACCTACCAATATATGTGGGGGTATAACTTGTATTGAGTATAGATGTATACGTGTTTAATATTTAATGCATAGAACACAGGACAAAAAACAGATTTACATCCCCGCAACATCCGACATAAGGGTTGGGATGGGTACGGGGAGGGCGGAGGAGAAGAAAAAAAACACCATAAAATGTTTAACGCTACAAATGTTTGGCTTTATTCAACGACTTAAGAGTAGAAATGTGTTAT